CGATAGTTCAATCTTGCTCATTAAAACGGTCAACCGCTAGTTCACATTCAGTACCAGATTGCTCAGACAGAAATCTCCAGTCAGTGACATGTTGGGAAGAGCAAACCTAGAATCAAGCCACCCTAACAGCCCAGTGTTTGTTCCTTAATTTATTCATACCCTCCTGTTCCAACTGGGTCGCTTTTCTCGCTGATAGCTCTTTGTGAGAACTCCAGACAGCTGAATTCTTTTTTAAGGGGTCGTTGGCTGGTCAGTCTGCCCTTCCTGTCTGTGCAGCTGAGATCTTTACCGTGGCTTCTGATACTAATGCTACAGAGCTGTTGTTGGATTTAAAAAAAAAGCTTAAATTAGCCATATGTAAGTCGATTCTCATGAAAAGAGGAAACACTGTGTGGCTTTGTGGTACTATATCCAAAATACGTTTATTATACTTTTTTTTGGAGTGAAACTTGATAGTGTTAGTTTTGGGCGGGGCTATTTGTTTTTTCGACCAATGGCAGTTGAAAGTTAGCACTTCAGTTCCTGCTGAATAAACTGAAAATGAAAAATGATAAAAATCTAAATAATAAAAATAATAACTAAAAAGTACAATCCTATGTGTTTTTGTTGTTGATCATCCTGTTTCCCTTGGAAATGTAAATAAAACTGTTTTGGAATGCTGTTTCTGACTGACTTCAAGGTCACAAGATTGTCGCTTTTGTTTTAGCATTATGGCAACATTTTTAGCAGAACTCTGTGTTAATTTGCTTGGAGCTGCTATACATTCTAGTAGTGCCAAACTCTTCATATTTAGCCTCTCATCCACAAGTACCAATATGATTACTCATGCTTGGCTCATGCTTGAAAGCTTGAAATATGACCAGGTTGTTTCTAGCAATGCATCTGCATGCAAGTGGGCTTGATTTTTTATTTTTTTTAATCATCAATAAAAATGTTAACTGGTTTTATAAACCATTGTTGTTGCACGTAAGGATGCATTGATGTAGAATTCTGGCTGATAATGATTAAGAGGTAATTATTTTCACATTATAAATGCTGGGTTAAATACAACCGAGTGCTGGGTAAAATGGGGACAAACCCAGCAATTGGGCTGTTTTGACCCAGCTGGGTCAAAACAGCCCAATTGCTGGGGTTGTCCCTATTTTACCCAGCACTGGGTTGTATTTAACCCAGCATTTTTTAGAGTGTATGAATCTATACTTTTATCTGTTGTAAAAACACATAAAGCTAATCCAAAATTACAATATGAAAAATGGATAACTGTTTATGTAACCTGATATAGATAAAAAAGTAGCCTAAACTGTTTTAGAAAATATTAGACCTTGAATTGTTGTCTTCTAGTATTGAATAATGGCAAAAATTGAAAGAAAATGGCTAATAATGAGTGCATTAACATTCACAGGCTAACTCTGATTATGCTAGATAAGCCGAAAGCTTGCAGGGTTGTGTAAAACTGAATGTCATTTATTTCTCAGGTCATGAAAGGTCTGTTATTACATTTTGACATCAAGCACAAAAAAACCTTTGCATTGGCAGTTTATTAATTTACATGTAAACCCTTAACAGGGTAATTCACCGCTGGTAATATGGTGTTTTAATGAAAGTTGGCCGTCTAGATCAGTGCTATACGACTAGAGAAAAAGGGCTATGGCGAAAAAGGGTTGGAAAACTTTAACACCCATAATGCACTGGGCTCAATCAGACTATCCGTGAGCAGAGATTCAAAAATGCAGACGTACATCTGTAGTTTTCACAGAATCCCTGTAGCTGTCAAAAGTCAATTTTGTGTGTTTTATATCATCCGGTGGACTTTTGCTGACAAATAAACAAGGATATCTTGGTGCAGGTAACAAAAATAATACACATTGTCCATTTACTTATACCACCAACATTATAATACAAAACTGGTTGAAAATGTATAAACTTGCCTTAAAACCAGTTTTTATACTGAACTGAGTTTCCCAAAAGCATTGTAAGACCAAGAAGATGGTAGAAAGCATTGACACTTGATTCTACAATCTACTTAGGCTTACAATGTTTTTGAGAACGTAGCCCGTAGTTCCTCTTCAGGAACTCGATCTGCGTCGAAAAACGCTAGGGGAACGCCGTTCAGCGTGACGGGCTCTGAATCTCGTGTGTAATCAGACCAACAGCTGGGCGAGACGTCACGGCGGGTGACGTAATGACCAGGAGGCTATAAAAGCACGTGCGGTGAGACCAGCGCCAGCTTTTTGTCGTTCAGCAAGCGCTCTGTGTGTGTGTCAGTCTGATATCTGTTTGTGAGTCATATTTGGTGTTGTCTGTCCCGTAGGGCTAGAAGATAATTATGTCTAAAGCACATGACAAGTCACATCATTTGAGTAGGGGCGAAGGCAGCCAGCGTTTCAAACTGTGTGTTCCTCCCTGCCCGCGTTTCATTACGGGTGCGGACACACACAGTTTGTGCGTTGTCTGCCTGGGAGCGGAGCATGCTGAGTCAGCTCTTGAGAGCGCTGACTGCCCGCATTGCGAGTGTCTTCCCATGCATGCTCTCCGCTCCCGAAAGGCACTCTGTGCGGAGGGTGCTTTCGCAAGCGTTCCCCGCGGAGCGTGTCCCGCTTCCGCCGAGGCGCAGCGGCGATTGCGCTCGTGGGGTTCGCAGCTGGAACTGGCGGAGGGATTGAAGACGGGCGAGTCCCTATCTTCTTCCTCCCCCGCCAGATCCGGCGCTCGCTCACCGGGATCGGAAGCCCGTTCTGCGGTTACTTCCCCCCGGGGAGCGGGCTCGGCGCTCCGCCTGTCTTCCTCCGAGGAGGTTGATGTGGTGGGCGTCGACGAGGATTCGCCCCCTCAATCGCCCCAGTATGAGGAGCTTTTGGAGGTGGTAACTCGTGCTGTGGCCAAGCTGAACATCGCATGGCCCGCCGAGAAAATGGCTGAACCGTAGAAAGGCAAGTTGGATGAGTGGTTTTTGCGAGTTAAGCCACCACCTCCGCGCCGGAGCCTGCCTTTTTTCCCCTAATTTTTAAACTGTCTGTCATAAATCAACATCTCAGGAAAATGTTATGGGGTTTCAAATCAAAATATAACTTTCTGTTACGAAACGGGACGTTGATTTCATACATGTCCTCATATGAGGAAACCGGGACTATAAGCATGTTTATTACGCATTTTGGGAGACATAACAAATGAATAGGGAAAGAAATTATGTTTCAATATTCTATGAAATATTATATATTATATTATAAATTTAGTTTATAGATACATTGTATATAATGAGAAAACCCGTTTATGGCCATTTTACATACATTTTGCAGAAAGAAAAATGGTATATCAAATCATTCTGTTATAACATAGTTGAGAATCATCTTTATACAAAGTTTGGAAAAAAAAAATAAAAATTCTGAAAACTAAAAATGTATTGGTGATTTAAAAAATCTATTGTTTTTGCCTATGCATGTTCATTCATGTCTCTACCGAGGACATAGCATAACTTATGAACGAAATATAATTTTTTACATATTTTTTAATGCTCTAAACAATGTAAAGACATGAAAAAAACTTTTTTTTCCTAAAAATAAGAGGTTAATTTGAGTTTTGTCTATTTTAAGCAATACACGAGCATAAAGATTACTTAAACTAACACACACATCTCTAATTCTGATTTCATGGTTTCTCCAAAGTTTTAAATGCTAGGATAATGCTAATGCTAAAGGCTAATCTCATGCATCATCTTTGTTTGGACTGATTTTGATTTTGGAGTGTAATAGAATGTCCTTAAGTTCCCTCTTTCATTTACAGCATCTAAGCGGCGTTTGAAGATCTGTGAAGATGTTTGTTTTTGAAACCGCCCGCTTTATTTCATTAAAAGCATCCTGGTTAATACCTCTACACCTAAACCAATATGTTAAGACCTGACTGTCTGCTTTGTCTGCAGATACAAAGAGCATTGCCTGGGAATGGAGGATGAAAATGTTTTTGTTTAAATATATCAGTCGCTTATACAAATAGATTACACAGTATATCAGTCAGTCAATATTTACAGGCCATAGAAAGTACACTCTACTGATACTTAGGCTATATAGTTGTCTGCTGGTTAGCATGTAACCAACGTATGATCTCAAGAAAAAGCCTGTTCAGATTTATGTTCATGTTGAATGTGCAGTAATATTGCATTACTCTAGACTGGATGAAGTTTGTGAAGAAGCCTTAGGTCACCCTACTGTGCTACAGCATGTGCTGTAAGTGGGTGGATGTGAACACGACTTCTCTCCCACCCTGGAACTCAATACCAGCATGATATATTTAAAAAGAAAGTACAGCAGCTGTTTTCATCTGTCCAGGGGCATGTTTTTTTATACATTTATATGCTTTACAGAATGCAATGTAATAAACAGATCTGTGCTGAGAGCTTTAAAAATGTGCTAATCTTTGGCTTTAGGAGTTTAATATCAGTCATGCTGTATTTGTTTTCCATTGAGTAAAGTAGCTTATGGCATGTTTGCGCAGCTAAGTGTATGTGCGCACAGACACAACCAAACCTCCCTGTTTTTCTTCCTTTACAGTTCATAATTTGATTTTACATTTACCATGTTTCTTTAGCCCCAGAAGTATGAGATTTGAGTCTCCTATTTTTGCTCATGGGACAACAGAAATCTTTGTCAATGGAAAAAGATAGACCTAAAATCTTGTAGTTGTGGCATTTACCAGAAGCTGCTACCTGCTAATACTAACCAGCCAAATGCTGACCCCTTAGTACATGCATACCGTAAATGGGCTACTATAGATACACCATATGTCATGTACCACATCTATCATTATTAGTAGTTAATTTTTTATTCATCATCCTGTCGAAATTGAATATATCAGCTCATATAGGATATTTATTTCTTCATGCTACAGTCATTGTGCATTCAAATCATCTAGCACTATGTTGCCAGTAAAAGCCTGGCAGGAGGATTTCTTTTCTCTTTCCTGTGTATTTTCTTAACCACTTGATTTGTCCATTTTACCTGATTTAGGGAGCCATGATTGACACCGTCTGTAATTTACAGTGGAAGCTTCCAGATTACTCTTCCTTCCCACATCAAGTCTATATGGCATCAGATGCTCCAGGCTGCTGTTCAAGTTCTCCTAGCCTTGACATTCAGTGTTTGGAGCTTGGAAGACATCCTGCCCTACTTTCCCTCCTTTGAGGCTGCAGTGTGACTATGTTAAAAGAGTGCGTGCTATTCTGCACACACTCATGGGGGGCTTGTTACAGAATGACACAGCAAATTACAGAGAAAGATGGGGGAAATATATAGGACATTTAAGACATAGTGGAAAGAGAACAGGAAATGATAGGTAGAACAGAAAAAAAAGACTGATTTAATCTCTTACCGCTTTTAAACTGCAAGTTGTGCTAACAGCTAGTCCAAAACAGTTACTCCAGCAAGAAAAGAAACTGCTACAGTTTTATGCTAGCTAGTTGTTTTAGGCACAGTATCTGCATGTACCTGGTCACAAAAATACACTTACTACATGTGAAATTGTTCAATTAGACCCAAGTGCTATGGCTAAATGTTTTGTAGCATGTTTGTTATGCTAACACTTATGTGCACAAACCTTGCTGTTTTAGGTTCTGTATCTGTACATGATAGTACTTTATGCTAGCTAAACACTATTTACTTTATGCTATTTAAACACTGTGTCTGTACGTACAACCTACTTGCAAAGATTTCCATGACTAAAACATATTTCAGTAAGTCAAATTTCTAAATTAGACTAGCGGTTAGCATGCTTTCTATATTATGGTAACATTTATAACCACAACATATTTCACACAATTATGTAAACTTAAATGGTGTTAGCTAATTTATGCTAGCTAGCTAGCTTGGAGTCTAAAAATAGAATCTAGTTGCAAAGATTTATTATAGCAAAATAATTAGACCCAGTGAGTACTATGGATCAATAGAAGCGGGTAACACGCATGCTACATTACGGTAACATGCCCACAGCATATTTTACTCTAATAAAATGTTTCATACTAGTGCTTTATGCTAACTAGCTGTTTTAGACTTTGATTCTGCCCATACAACCTAGTCGTAAAGATTTTCATGACTCTTATTTAAACAAGTGAAATGGAGCATGAGCGTGATCCAAAATTGGTCACAGATTCGAAGAAACTAAACAGATCACAGTGTTCCCTTCATGTTATGCCATCTGGAAAGGGAGATCTTTGTGCCGTGGCGGAGAACGCTTCCTCAGAGATTGGGCCGTCCTGAGCTTTAATTGGCCCCACTAGATATTCTAAGGTGCATAAACACTCCAATCAAGTCTGTACTTAACGCCTGACTGTGCTTCATGAAGGGTAAACAAGTCTGTTCTCTCCTCCTTATGTCGGAAGAAAGCTAAGGGAAGAAAGAAAAAATAAACATACAAGAGGTGAATTATGAGGAAGAAGAAATCCAGGCAGTTGTGCCAAGTTCTGGCCAGCTTATATTTAAAGAGCCTGTACGAAGTTATCAAATAGCTATAGCGCTAATGTCAAGAAATGTGATTAAAAACCATCAGATAAGGGAAGAGTTCACCCGAAAATGTTTATTCTGTCATTATTTACTCACCCTCATGTTGTTCCAAACCTGTATGAGTTTATTTCTTCTGTTGACCACAAAAGAAGATGTTTTGAAGAATGTTGGTGAAAACGTAGGAGCTAATTTGGTTCTCGAAAAAGGCAGTCCGGTACTAAAATCGCACCCAGTTCCGGCGGTGCGAAAACGCCAAAAAGTGGGTAGTTCCACAATTAGTTCTGGTACTATGAAAAGGTTCCCACGGTGTGAAAGGCCTTAGTGTTAGCAGTTAAAATGTGTGCTACATTACATATTTTACTCAAGTATGTAAACTGAAATTCTGAAGGTTCTGATTCTGCCAATACAAGCTAGTCATAATGATTTCCATCTCTAGAGCCTGTTCAGTAAGTGAAATTGCTACATTAGGCCCAATGAGTGCTACAGCTCAATGTTTTGGACTAGCGGGTAACACGCATGCTACATTACGGTAACATGCCCACAGCATATTTTACTCTAATATAATGTTTCATACTAGTGCTTTATGCTAACTAGCTGTTTTAGACTTTGATTCTGCCCATATAACCTAGTCGTAAAGATTTTCATGACTCTTATTTAAACAAGTGAAATGGAGCATGAGCGTGATCCAAAATTGGTCACAGATTCGAAGAAACTAAACAGATCACAGTGTTCCCTTCATGTTATGCCATCTGGAAAGGGAGATCTTTGTGCCGTGGCGGAGAACGCTTCCTCAGAGATTGGGCCGTCCTGAGCTTTAATTGGCCCCACTAGATATTCTAAGGTGCATAAACACTCCAATCAAGTCTGTACTTAACGCCTGACTGTGCTTCATGAAGGGTAAACAAGTCTGTTCTCTCCTCCTTATGTCGGAAGAAAGCTAAGGGAAGAAAGAAAAAATAAACATACAAGAGGTGAATTATGAGGAAGAAGAAATCCAGGCAGTTGTGCCAAGTTCTGGCCAGCTTATATTTAAAGAGCCTGTACGAAGTTATCAAATAGCTATAGCGCTAATGTCAAGAAATGTGATTAAAAACCATCAGATAAGGGAAGAGTTCACCCGAAAATGTTTATTCTGTCATTATTTACTCACCCTCATGTTGTTCCAAACCTGTATGAGTTTATTTCTTCTGTTGACCACAAAAGAAGATGTTTTGAAGAATGTTGGTGAAAACTGTTGACGGTAGCGTCCATAGTATGTCAATGGCTACCATCAACTCTTTGGTTACCAACATTCTTCAAAACACCGTCTTTTGAAACTCACACCGGTTTGGAACAACTTGAGGGTAAATGATGATTTAATTTTAATTTTTGCGTTAACTATCCCTTTAAGGTTTGGGAATGGGCTTATAATCCAAGTCTTCTCATTGACAGTAGCGGTGCTCGATACAGTGATCTCATGTAGCATTGCACACATGCAGAAGAGCAAGGGACGGGTTTCACATACCCCTGTGCTAGAGGCGCTGCTACTCATCAGCCCTCCCTGCTTATGTTTACCTTGGCAACCAGCGCAGAGTTTAAACAAACATGCCATACACGTTTGGCCAATCAATGTCTACTTACGTCACAATTAGTACCAGTTGTGCTGGTTAGACCCTGCTCCAGAGTAGGAGCTAATTTGGTTCTCGAAAAAGGCAGTCCGGTACTAAAATCGCACCCAGTTCCGGCGGTGCGAAAACGCCAAAAAGTGGGTAGTTCCACAATTAGTTCTGGTACTATGAAAAGGTTCCCACGGTGTGAAAGGCCTTAGTGTTAGCAGTTAAAATGTGTGCTACATTACATATTTTACTCAAGTATGTAAACTGAAATTCTGAAGGTTCTGATTCTGCCAATACAAGCTAGTCATAATGATTTCCATCTCTAGAGCCTGTTCAGTAAGTGAAATTGCTACATTAGGCCCAATGAGTGCTACAGCTCAATGTTTTGGACTAGCGGGTAACACGCATGCTACATTACGGTAACATGCCCACAGCATATTTTACTCTAATATAATGTTTCATACTAGTGCTTTATGCTAACTAGCTGTTTTAGACTTTGATTCTGCCCATATAACCTAGTCGTAAAGATTTTCATGACTCTTATTTAAACAAGTGAAATGGAGCATGAGCGTGATCCAAAATTGGTCACAGATTCGAAGAAACTAAACAGATCACAGTGTTCCCTTCATGTTATGCCATCTGGAAAGGGAGATCTTTGTGCCGTGGCGGAGAACGCTTCCTCAGAGATTGGGCCGTCCTGAGCTTTAATTGGCCCCACTAGATATTCTAAGGTGCATAAACACTCCAATCAAGTCTGTACTTAACGCCTGACTGTGCTTCATGAAGGGTAAACAAGTCTGTTCTCTCCTCCTTATGTCGGAAGAAAGCTAAGGGAAGAAAGAAAAAATAAACATACAAGAGGTGAATTATGAGGAAGAAGAAATCCAGGCAGTTGTGCCAAGTTCTGGCCAGCTTATATTTAAAGAGCCTGTACGAAGTTATCAAATAGCTATAGCGCTAATGTCAAGAAATGTGATTAAAAACCATCAGATAAGGGAAGAGTTCACCCGAAAATGTTTATTCTGTCATTATTTACTCACCCTCATGTTGTTCCAAACCTGTATGAGTTTATCTCTAATATAATGTTTCATACTAGTGCTTTATGCTAACTAGCTGTTTTAGACTTTGATTCTGCCCATATAACCTAGTCGTAAAGATTTTCATGACTCTTATTTAAACAAGTGAAATGGAGCATGAGCGTGATCCAAAATTGGTCACAGATTCGAAGAAACTAAACAGATCACAGTGTTCCCTTCATGTTATGCCATCTGGAAAGGGAGATCTTTGTGCCGTGGCGGAGAACGCTTCCTCAGAGATTGGGCCGTCCTGAGCTTTAATTGGCCCCACTAGATATTCTAAGGTGCATAAACACTCCAATCAAGTCTGTACTTAACGCCTGACTGTGCTTCATGAAGGGTAAACAAGTCTGTTCTCTCCTCCTTATGTCGGAAGAAAGCTAAGGGAAGAAAGAAAAAATAAACATACAAGAGGTGAATTATGAGGAAGAAGAAATCCAGGCAGTTGTGCCAAGTTCTGGCCAGCTTATATTTAAAGAGCCTGTATGAAGTTATCAAATAGCTATAGCGCTAATGTCAAGAAATGTGATTAAAAACCATCAGATAAGGGAAGAGTTCACCCGAAAATGTATATTCTGTCATTATTTACTCACCCTCATGTTGTTCCAAACCTGTATGAGTTTATTTCTTCTGTTGACCACAAAAGAAGATGTTTTGAAGAATGTTGGTGAAAACTGTTGATGGTAGCGTCCATAGTATGTCAATGGCTACCATCAACTCTTTGGTTACCAACATTCTTCAAAACACCGTCTTTTGAAACTCACACCAGTTTGGAACAACTTGAGGGTAAATGATGATTTAATTTTAATTTTTGCGTTAACTATCCCTTTAAGGTTTGGGAATGGGCTTATAATCCAAGTCTTCTCATTGACAGTAGCGGTGCTCGATACAGTGATCTCATGTAGCATTGCACACATGCAGAAGGGCAAGGGACGGGTTTCACATACCCCTGTGCTAGAGGCGCTGCTACTCATCAGCCCTCCCTGCTTATGTTTACCTTGGCAACCAGCGCAGA